CCTGCCTGCCTGCCCACATTAGGGGCATTCCCAGGGAAATGAGGTTTGGCACATGGACCGGAGGCCCCTTTCCTTCTTCCTTGCCCCCATTGCTCAGCAAACAACCAGCCTAAGCCATTCTCCTTTGCAAGACTGTGTAGAAAAAGGGACAGAAGAGAGAACGATGGAAAATAACAGGGGTGTTGTATTCTCTATGTTGGGGCTACTTCGATTCTTCCCCTAAAATGGAGCACCCCTACCCAAGTTCCAAGCTCTTATTTCCTCTTCACAGCCCTCACTATGGGGTGATAGCATTGGGTGATATTTGCCAAAAAATTCCTTGCAAGTTAGACTGGACCCAGGCAAGAGCCCTGGTGACTAGTGAAGAAAGCCGGGAATCACAGAATGGAGCCCTGAAATCAACAGGGAAGAGCTGAGTTCTAGTCCTGATTCTGCCGCTGACCCTGCATCAAATTTTGGGCAAGTGATTGTGCACACTGAGCCTCAGCATCCCCGTCTGTAAAATGAGGGCCTGACCTCAAGGGTCGCATGGGTTCCTTCCACCTTTAGCATTCTTTGGCCAATACTCAGGCAATTCCTGGAGAGACGTTAGGACCTTGCTAAGCCAGGTGGCTAGGCAGGAAAGGCCACTTTGCCCTTTATAGTAATCGCCAGTCACTCCTTTGAATAAAAAAAAAAAAAAAGACATTATAACAGAAATCATGGAAAGAACTGGACCTGGAAAAATATGGGAGATTGTTTGGACATAGAGGAAAAGGAAGTAGAAGCCTAGAACTCGCTTCTTTGTTTATTTGCTTATTTATTTTTGCAAGTCTTGAATAAACCATTGTTTTGAAAAACACATCCAGATGAAAAACACATCTCTAGGATTGCAGCTTTTGGACCAAAGGTAGTAAGAATGCAAAACAAAAACTCAAACAAAACTCGTTCAAATTGTCTCCATGTCTCTCACGATAACCATCCTTTCTGATCTGTTCCTCCTGGTCCTCCAGTTTCTGGATGCAGTGGAGCCTGGAGTGTGGTGCTCTCTTCTTCAAAGTTTTATTTTCCACACACTAAATAACTCAAAGTTTCAAAGGCATTGCTCAGGTACAAAGTAAAATATTTAGACAAAAGTCACCTTTTCTTCCTGCTACCCTGTCCCCGCTCCCCTCCCCCCTATGAAGGGGACCAGGGCTTCTACTGGGATTCCTGCTCCCATGCCCTTTGCCATAACCCTCAGGGTGACCTCTGGCTCCTGGGGTCAGTCCCGACCCCCCCCTACAGCTGCAAGCCCACCTGCCTGCTCAAATCCAGCCCAAGCCCTGGGACTAAGGCACAGCTGCTCTGACTTAAAACTCAAGCCCTCCGGGCATGCCTTGGCAGTGGGGGGGGGGGGAAGGGAGGGAGGTTGGAGGGAGGGATAAGGTAGAGGAAAATTTAAATGGAAAGAAAATGTGGCCAACTGTGCTTGCTCTCCGATCCTGAGCTGACACAGCAGAAAGGGGAGGGGGGTGGGGGGGGCGAGGGGGCGGTAAGAAAAGTCAAGTTAAAAGCAGCATCACTTGTCTTCCCAACTCGGTTTTGGTTGGCACAGGCTGCAGCCAGACTCTCAAAGACTTATTTCAAAGGGAGGGGGTGCGGGTGGGAAAGGAATCTGCCTCCTTCAGTTTTCCATGATCTTGTTCAGCCCAGACACAAATTTGGCCAATAAACCTAACTCTGGAACTTGACTTCAACATGGCATTTGGACCAGGTTTGGAGTGGAAGCCAGGGCTGGTGGAGGCCAAACCCCTAAAAGAAGCAAAGGCTGAATTCATTTTTATTGAGGTACTGTTTTTTTCTTTCCCAGAAGCATATTTTGTCTTTCTCTCTCTTTATTTTTCAATGGTGGTACTGAAACCCAGAATCCACTTCTCCCCTCACCCTCGACTTAATGTCTCCCAGGCACAGGAGAGATCTCCCAGACAAGGCAAAGATGCATGCTCTGCCACCCTCCCGCCCACGAAGCCACAAGGCTCCTTCTGCAAACAATGCCCAGAGCAAAGCCCAGCCCTTCCTCGACTCGATCCAGCTCACCGATCTTTATTGAGCTTGGCCCAATAAATAACTCGTCTCCCGCCTCCCTCTGGTTTCCTATGTACTGCGCTCTGTTTCTATATCTGTCTTTGCCCCTGCACTGGCTGAAATAAAATGCAGGGCCCCGCGCACTCCCAGCCCCAATCTCTCGGGCGGACTCCCTCTCCCGTTGCGCAGCAACGCGCGCAGCAAAACACCAGTCTCCGCCCGCCCGCCCTCCGCCCTTCCTCCCAGAAGCTTTGGCTGCCTGCCACCTCTCCCTCCTCAGCTCCCCATTACTAATTAAAATGCATTCTTTTTGGGGGGGATTGAAAAAAGATATTGATCTATTTCTATATATGCATATATATTTTTGGTGTGTGTTATCTATCCCTGTAGTATCTATATTTATATGGAAACTGCGGTAGAGAGGGGCACACCCAAGTTCGCATTGCTAGTTTTGGTGGGTGGGTGGGGGGAATGGTGGTGGGGTGTGCTGGGGGACAAGAATTTTGGTCAAAGGAGCTGACACGCTCCTCCATCTCTCTTCATTTTCCACTCCCTAAGAAGTGCCTCTGCGCCATCTCCAACTTTTTGGGGGCCCACTCAACGGTTTTCGAGCTGAAAAGGTATAGCCAAGAAAGTCCACTCGCCTCCTACCGGTCCTGGAGGAAGTCTTCAGCCCCGGCCACCGGCAGAGCGCAGCCATTGGCGACTGCAGACGGTTAGGCACCTGCCTAAGGCAGGGTGGAATCCATGGAAAGGGCTCGGGCAGGAATGGGGAGGAGGCGGAGAGGCTGCTAGGTATTGGCCCAGAGGTACCTTGAAGGTGGAGGTTGAGGAAGAGGCTGCAGAGAAATCTAAAGGGCCTGTTGCTTGGGACAAAAGCTGGGGGGGGGGGGGGGCGGGGGGGGGGCGGAGAGGGTGTGGATGTGCGCGCGCGCCCGCGCGCGCGATGGGTTGAACTGGAAAGTTGGATGCGCCTAGTCGTTCTCAGTAATTGCGCGCGCGTGTGCCTTCTGCGCGCGCGCGCGCGCACACTGCACCTACCACATCACACCAACCACACTGTTGAGCAAAGTAAAGTGGGGCCAAAATGCGGCTGATACCTGGCATACTTTCGATGTGACCGGATTGTTAAGCAGAGCGCTCGCTCTTCCAAGCCAGGAAATAGATTCATACCTCTTATCCGCCACTACTGCGCCCCCCCTCCAGCTTTTTCCAAATTCACAACCCCCACGATGAAGGCGGGCGGGACCGCCTTTAAAAAGTGGTTCTTAATAAAAAATAACCCCACAAACTGGCCTCTGGGGCCTTCGGAGTCTGCACGTTACCCTCCGTCTCTTTTTTGCAGGCAGGAATATGGAGAGAGGCTGCCTCTTGCAAAGCTGCAGGCGCGGCCGCCTGTAACAGGCAAAACCTGCAGGGCTTTGGGACACACAGTTTGAATCTAGGAAAACTCTCCTGTCTCTTCTTAAGTGCCGACGCCCTTCTTTCCTACATGACAGTTCTGTAGTGTGCAGTTTAAGACAACTCATGTTGGGGTGCTCAGAGTGGAAGGGGATAGAAGGGCATTGGCCCAGGAAGTAACTACGTAAGTAAACATTATTTAGCCAAGTCTTAATCCCTTTTGGAGAGAATCAACAGTTTGACGTTTCAGAATGCAGATTTTTGTGTATGGTTCTTTAAACTATTTTTTAAAAATTTAAGGTCAGGTAACTCCAAAAAGAAACCCAGTCTAAAGGGAACAGAACTGTTCTCACTAAAAAAGTAGCTCAGTGAACCTTTTAAACCCTAAGACTTCTGGAGCTGAGAATTGGGGGCAGGGCGACTTGGGGGCGGGGCGACTTGGAGGCGGAGGGGCAGCAACGGGGCGTGGCCTTCCCAGCCTCTGCCTCCTTTATTTTGCATTTTGCGTTTCCAGGGCCCCTTTTACATTTATACCACACCCACTCGTGATCAAGTTTGAGAGATCGGGGCGGGGGAGGGGGATTAGTACTGAGAGGGAAATTATGAGGTCTGAGTCTCACACCATCCTCTTGCCTCCCAATCCTATACATCCACCTTCCGTCCTAAGTAAAATCTGAATTGGGGCGAGGGAAAAGTAATTAAGTTCAGGTACAGATATCCAGCACAGAACAACAAACACTTCTTCCCGACGCCCCAACTCCCGCCCCCCGCCGCCCCCCTCCCAAACTACCCCAATGACTTCCCTCGCCGCCGCCGTGCGTGCCTAAAGTAATTTTTCCCTTCCAGGGAGGAAAGAAAAGGGGTGTTTTGCATTTTAATCTGTTTTACCATCTAACACAATCATATCAAATCAAAAGTAATGGGTGTGAATGTGGGAGGGGCATCGAAGCCCGCATCCAAAAGGCTGTAGCTACCGAGGAAGCGTGCGGGTGTGAGCGCGTGCGCGTGCGCGTGCGTGTGTATTGGGATAGATGAATAGAAACATCAGAAGGGACCGGTAGTGGGGTAGAGGCTGGGAGGGACAAAGGTGGAAGGAGCACAGAACGCCTCTCTTTTCAGGTACCCAGTTAAAGCAATATTTTAACAAAGAGATTTTTTTTTCAAGTTCAGAAAAAGAAAAAAACGTGTTAGTAGATGGTGGAGGAGGGAGCTGATAATGAAACATGCACCCTTTCACCCTGGAGACTGAGTACCTGGGGATTTGGACCAGGAGGCTGAATAGGAGCTCAGAGTCAGTATTCAGACGAAGGGGGAGGGGTGGGGTGGAGTAGGGTGGGGGCAGGGGCGAAGAGCCGAAGCGGAGACCGCGAGAGGCTCGGATGCACAGCTGCCTAGGGTAGCTGGATCTGCCAGGGGTAAAGACCCTCCCCGCCCTTTCCTCCCACCCCCCGGGATGCACCCCGGCTCTAAGCCGCGTTCTGGGCAAAGCGCGCGTGGCCGGCCCGTCCCCTGTCCCCTGCCCTTGCGCCGTGTACTACACTGAGCGCGCTCACCGATCTTGACTTGCTCGCGGTAGCTCTTTTCGTTCAGGCAAACCCCGCGGCCGTGCAGCAGGGCATGCAGCGGTTTCTCCTCATCCTGACGTGGGAGGCAGCGCAGCCCCTGGGCGCAGCGCTCAGTGTAGACGCCGCACGACTGCCCCTCGGCCAGGGCGCAAGTCATGCAGCAGCCGCAGCCCGGCTCCTTGACTAGCTCGCAGCCCAGGGGGCTGGGGGGGCACATGGAGAGGGCTTTCTCGTCGCAGGGCTCGCAGTGCACGAAGGAGCCCAGGCCCTGGGCCGGTCCCGCACAAGCGGCCAGCAGCAGTAGGACCGCGGTGAGCACCATCTTCTCCGAGTCTCTCCCTTTACCTTGGGGCGGGGCAGGAGAGCGAGAGTACAGGGACAAAGGGGCCAGGAGGGTGCCGGAGAAAATTTTTTAAAAAAATATTTCTGGCAGGTAGAGCAGGTGCCTTCCCCCAGACAACTGCAAAATGTGGGGAGAGTTGGAGGGCTGGGGTGCCTGCAAGCAGTCCCAGCCACGAGGATTAAAGATTTGCAACAGGTTGGGGGGAAAAGAGCAGCGCCAGGTGCACGCACTGGGACTGGGGCTGGACAAGCAACCCCCGCGCCCGACCTGGTCTGAAGTGCAGGGGGACAAGCCAAAAATTGTTCACCCCAAAGCAACCACCGGAATAAAGAGCTCGGAGGCTGTGGAGGAGAAGGGGTAGGGGGAGGAAAAATGGATTTGTCTTAAAAATTTTTGTTTAAAATCTAAAGTACACCCGGCTCCTTTCTAACCCTCAGCTGCTAGCGGCGCGCGGCTGCGCGGAACAGGTAGAAGGTGGCGGCTGGAGCCGCAAGGACAGGGGAAAATGTTGAAATCAAGAAATAAAAATTAAAAAAAAAAAAACCCAGATCCAAAACCCTAACACCTCTTTTCTCCCACTCTGCAACCACCTCTTCGAAATTCGCAGGTTCTGCGTGAAGTCGGGAGAAGGGTGCAAACGGAAGAGAGGGTAATTAGAAGGAGCGAAAAAGAGGAAAAGCCCCACGCCGCTTTGCAGCTCTTCCTAGCTCTTTCCCCCGCAGAAGTTTCCAAAGAGACTACCGGCTCCGGTCGAACAGGCGCTTTTAAATAGACGGCCCTGGCTGCCAGCCAGTTTGTAGCTGCAATTTGAGCTCCCCAACACCCAACCCAGGCAAGGATGCCAAGGAGCTTTGCAGTACGAACTCACACGGGGTGGGGGTGGGGAGAGGCCTTCGAGACACACGGGGGCTCCCCTTCGCTCCATGAACAGTGCCCTCCTCCCCCCGGAATGTAAGAAAGGGGCATGGGGGACTGGGCCGGGGCTGCAGGAGGGAGGAGGAGGTCGGGGGCGCGTGGATGAGAGAGTTCTTCAGTGCACGGTGGACACAATGAGGAGTAACTCAGTCTCCCCCTCCCTCCCACCCCTTAACTAGCCCAGGCCCAGGCTGGAGGGAGAAGCATTTTCTTAATTGCCAACTGGATATATACAGTGCCCAAGAAATTCTTCCCAAGCTTTGGGAAATGGCTGTCTGCTAGTGTCTCACTTACCATGCAAGGGGGTGGGGGGTGTGTGTGTGTGTGTGTGTGTGTGTGTGTGTGTGTGTGTTGGGGAGGGGGGAGTTGTTAGTGTAGGATGGCCAGAGATGGGTGGTGAGCTGAATTAAAAAGAAAGAAAAAGAAGAAAAACTGGATTCCCCACCAAAAGCCTGGGGAAGGGGATTCAATCTAGACTTTGTGTTGCTGGTGGAGTGACTGTCTTCAGGCATATGGTCAGGCAAGAGTAGCCACTTTCCTCCAGCCACATTGTTGGCCCAGTAATGTTGTGTGTGTGTGTTTGTGTTGTGTACACTTGGCAGAAAGGAACATTCAGACCATGGCGTTGTAGGGATACGAACAGAGACTGGCAGTTCGAAGAAATGCTCCGTCTGAAAATCTTGCCCAGTGATCAAAAATGTCCTGGGGTGGGATTTTTAGATGGAAGGAGGGCAGATTGGAGTAATACTTTTCTTTCATATTCTTTTAAAGGGGCGTTTCTATTGGGCAGGGCTGCATCTTTGGAGGGAATAGATGAGAGTCCAGAAAGACACCCATTTAAAAGGTTAATTGGCACACATAGGTACGTCCCAAGAATGTGAGCTACAGGCCCCAGGACTTGATCTGAAGAGATTCTGGCCAGGACCATTGTTATCCCATTTGAAATCTCAGATTATCTCTTCAGACGCTGTGGGCTCCTTCTCTCCTTAGCAAAATAAAAGAAGGCTCCAGTCTTAGAAGAAGGAAAGTGATGATTTTATTTTTTTCTGAAAGTGACATGGACAGGTTGTGGCCCTCACAGCCACGGCAAAGAGAAATGACCAGTCTTTGCTGACCCATTTGGGAGAAATTGGGGTGGCACTGTTACTTACTATGTTTCCCTTCATCCCTTTGGAAATGCTCTAACTTTCCTTGGGAGAAGGGGCTGCATTTCATGAAGTTTGCCACTAGACTGCACCCTTATCTATGATAAGAATTCTTTCTGCAGGACTGCTTTTAAGAAAATATTTCTCTTGCTGGTTTGGTTCAGGAGCAATTCTCTCTATGCTGTTAACACTCCCAGATTCTGATCTCCCCTCTCACTTATCTACTTGCCGAGAGGCACATCTTTAAAAAAAAGAAAAAAGAAAAAAAAGAAAAAGAGTTTAAAGTCCTGCTTTTGCTTGTATTGCCAGAGGGGTTTTAGATGTTGGCTGGGAGAGGGAGGAGGAGCTGGGTGTAATGATGAAAAAAAAAAAAAAAAAAGCAACGAGGCTCCTAGTCGGTTCTTCTCCCCTCTGTCTGGGGCTTGGTAAATTAGGGGAAAATTAATATTAAAAAATTTTGGTTGAAGTATCTGAGGAGGGAGGGTGATCGTGTGTTATTTTCTCTTTTGTGTCAAGTTCAGACCAGAAGAGTGGCCGAACAGTGTGCCCTGTGTGTTCCGGCCCCTGCTCCCATTTCTGCAGCCACCCAGCAGCCTGCCGAGCCCAGGCACACGGGGGGCGTTTAAGATGAAGGGGTGAAGGGGGAAGTTGTGGTGCCCCTTCCAGAGAAACAGGAGTTGCCTGGTTCCAGCCACTCTCCGTTCTGAGAGAGACAGACTGCTTACAGTGATGTGTCTTTTTGTCTAGCTGACTTCAGTGGCTGGAAAATAAAATGTGTGAGGACAGGTAAAAGGAAGAAGAGATGATTCACAGGGAAGACGAAAGGGTAGGAAGATGACGAAATGGGGGGGGGGGGTTGTAGCAGGAGCTAGTCCTTGGGGTAGGGCGGCAGCTTGGGCCATGGAGAGAGGGGACTCTGCAGGAATATACAGAAGTGACCCGCTGTATTCCGATTTAGAGGTGGGCTTAGTCGTGAAGGGTTGAGCGCTGATGAGACACGAGCTGCTGTCCAAGGCACCCTCACTCAGGTAGGCTCCCTGGGAGGGCATGAGAAAGAATTCTTAGCAGCCTGGGATTGTCTAAAGTAATTTTGTCCAAAGATGAGATACTGGCCAGATGGGTTTGCTTCTACAAGCCCATGATTAATGTATGACAGTAGAGTGGGATGTTCTGTTCCGGGAAGTTAGAGTTGGGGGTGCCTGAGAGCCTTTCTTGATTTCGTGCCCCACGCCCCACTTCCATTCTGAAGGCCTAGATCTGTTCACAATCACCTGCAGAAGCTTGCTTCTGAAGACGACAGTTTGCATCGATGAACTTAACAGGGAAGGGCTCATTTATTCCTGCCGGATACGCATGTCAGAGGCCAGCTTCCCTTCCCTCGTTCAGGGCCCTGAGCTTCTCACCCACTGCTTCTTAACTCGAGCTTTGATGCCTTCCAACCACACCTTTCTTGGAGAAGCAAGAAATTACATCTCATCAATTTGTGTGCTGTTCCCCAGAGATCACCCCTCCCCATTCCTTTAAAAGATTAGCTGGATATCAAAAACAAATTTCAAAAAATGCAACCAAGTAAAAATGTGTGCTTTTATAAGCACAACCTTTTGAAGTGTGTGTAGCAGTTGTTTTATAAAGCTTGTATCCTCCCTGTGGTCATTTTTGAGGCAAGGGTGATGCCTGGTACCATGGACTGGGAATGTTATATGTTTAATACTTCATAAAATATTGTGGATTTCTCTGGTTGGAAAGGAAAGATGTCAGCTAAGGGTCTTGTCTTCATTTGGTCTTGTCTTCATGGCTCTCAGCACTCTCAGGCAGGTTTGCCTCCCATTTTCCACAGTGAGTAATTATTCTGTTTTAAAGACCCTATGAAACTGACATCAGTCCCTTTCTCAGAAGCCAGGACACATCAGGCATACTAATGCCACTGCCTCATCGTGGTATGGTGACCTTCAAGAAATAAAGTACCCAGCCTCTCAGGTCCCTCCCCAGACACGGGAAATTCAGCAAGATTGAGAAAAGAGCCATTGAGGGCAGCTTTGTTGTAGTGATGTGGCTGAAGGCTAGGTGGCAGGATGGATACATCGTTTAAAACACGCCTCCTTTCCAGAAGGGCCAAGAACGGGAGACTGGTGGAAGTCTTTAACAATGGGGGTGGGATGTGGGAAGCAAAAGCTGGGATGGAGGGCCACATCCACACTCAGTGGGTCCACTGTGTGCGGCCCCAGCCGGGGCACTGCCCTTAGCCCGCAACGCACAGACCCAGCTGGTGGTGCAGCGTCTCTGAGGCTCCCCCGGGAGGCTTTGTTCATGGCCACTTCACCTCCAAGACCAGCCAGGTCAGAACAGGATTATTTTGGGTCCATCATAGAATGCCCTAAAGCTTCTCTGATGAATAATTAGGATGTGGGCTTCGCCAAAAGTGCATAAGCAAATGTCCTTTTTACATCTTAAAATATAAATTATGGAATATTTCGAGCATTCAAAGATATGCTCGGGCAGAAGATAATATAATAGATATCCTTTACTCACCACACACATTCAACACATGTTAACATTTTGCCCTTCTTGTTTGAGATTTTGTTAAAAAGTACAGTGGTACAGGGAACAGCTCACTTACTTCTCTGGCCCCTGCTCGGCTTCCCTCCACAGAGAGAAAGAGCTTTGTATCCTCTCTGCAGAATATGTTTGTAGGTTTTGCACGAAGTTTCTTACAGAACAGAGTTAGAACCATTTGGAGGGTGAAACCACATGCTACTTGAGAGTTAATTTTGTAGTGGTGCTTGCTATGGTGGCAATTTAATTAGAGTCTAAATTGACCCTCTGGCTGACTTTTGAAGGAGCTGGAGCCAACTATGACTCAGAGTGATTTATATTTCTCTGTGAGCAATATAAGTTAATCGTTTTAAGAACTGATGTTTAGGAGGCTCTGGAGCCAGTCCAGAGAGATATGGAAGAGCAGAGGGGCTCCAGAAATAATTTCTGGTTGCAGGTTTCCTATCTTCTTGGTTCATGGGATTCTGGGGTGTTTCTACAACAGACAAGCCCAGAGTTGTGTTTGAATTTTGGAAAAATAAGGTGAACCAGGAAAAATGACCACTTGTAAGTTAGAAGCGTTGGTAGAACCAGATCTAGGAGGAGAGGGATAGTCCAGGTGGGGAAGATGGAATCGCATGGGATAGGAGAAAATAGAAAGTGTTACTTTCCATTTTCTTGAAACAGGTTTAATAGAATGTAGTTGAGCCATGAAAAAACCAAGTAAAATTATAGTGCATGGTTGGAATTTAGGTTTCATTACAGTTCAAAAGGGAGAGGTGGTAAGTACCAGCTTACTACCACCAGCCTTTAGGGCAAATTTCGATAATTAGGAAACAGTGCCCTTCCTCAAGGCGCTTTATTTCTATTTGCTAGAAAATGATTATAAAATACATATTTTGTCAGAACAAGACACTTGACTACCCTTCCAGGAAACTGTCCTCATGAATGTACGTACCTATGACGTGTGCTGTGTGAACATGTGAACACTGCTATTCAGATGTGGTTCTTACTGTGTAGGGCATGACCTGCACAGCTCCATGTGCCAGCCCAGTTTGAAAGAGTTGAGCCTGGTTTCCATCAGGAAACACTCCTTTTCTACTGGTATGGAAAGGACTGGCCCAGTCACATGGTTTGATTCGTCACCAGGGTTGAG